ATTTAGCTCTTTACTTCATACAACAGATCAAAGATGAAACCGGTATGGGTCTCAATATGCCGGTAAGTCTGAAATTGATACCGATACTAGACTAGCAAGTTGTTGTACTATTCTATTTCTGAATAGTGACACTTAACATAGTAAAATTTTAACAAAGTCTCATTGCACATTCTCTATGAGATTCTAACAGCAAAAATTTAAGATAACAGACTAGTCGCTAGTATCAGTTCCATCCATCTCACAGATATACATATCAACATTTCAATACGAAAACCTTCAACATGATATTATTTTACTTGAAACTGATTATTGTCATGTAGACAAATCGATCTACTCTGTAATCTGAGTAGATCGAAAACGGTTTTGGCAAAACTTTTTTGCTATTTTAAAAAACCGATATTCAATAAAACCAGTATATAAAAACTAATGTGAATCTCTTATGGTCATATTCAGAATCAACATAGTTAATAGCTTAGAGCCCATTGACTTTCGATGAGAAAACGATTAATCAATTCAGTTTAATAGGCAATATGTAATCAATTTTACCCGACAGGTTTTTTTAGCTTTTCTGGTTAATTTATGGATTTTGGTTTTAGTAATTTAAAAAAAAAAGCATAATAAATTTCGCTCTTGAAGTTGTTTGCATAGCGAGTAGTAAATTAGTTCTAAACTTTGACACTCCTTTTAGTTAACATTAAATAAAAACTAGAAATATTTGTGTTTTTATTTTGTTTTTAGTCACTCATTTGTTAATCAATTTGAAAAAATGGATCGAAGTAAATCAAATTCAGCAAATCATAAAGATATAATATGTGGTCAACCATTTGATCCAATTGATATTCTTCAAGAAATAGCTCGTCTACGTAGTGTATCTATTGACATTGTTAAAACAAAGCAAGAAGATGCACATGAATTGTTATGTCAATTATTAAATGAACTTCATGAAGAAATTTGTTCAATTTTGTATAACACAGCAATAAATAAAAATGGTAAATAAATTTGAAAATAATTTTCAGAGAATAAAAAATAAAACATATTTTATTTTTTGTTAAAGATGAATCCTTAACTACATCTGACGTACCAGTAACAACATTAGCTCCTAATGGAGAAGAAAAATCAGAAGATTGGCTTCAAGTTGGTAAAAGAAATCGTACACATGTTCTTCGAACGGTAATTTAAAAAGATTTTTTTCTTCTTCTTCTATCAAATGATTTATAAATAATTTTTTATTTTAGAATGAAATTCGAAAAAGTCTTATTGCGGATATATTTGCTGGAAAATTCCGTTCAACAATACATATTACTGGAAATCAAAAATCAGTTACACATGAACCATTTTTTACTCTTTCACTTGATATTAAAGTAAGAACATGATTTAAATAAGTATCTAAGATAAAACAGCGAAAAACAACTTCAAAGAAAATGACATTTCTTGACAAACACTTTCTAATCATGATCTTATAATAGCTGAGAACACTCAAATACGAGATATTCTATCCAGGAAGGAAGAAAACGTCACTATTAGAGAAATGAGTTTCTCAAGATTAGGATCTTAGAAATAGTACAATATTTACAAGAAAAATATTTCCTTTCAGGAAATAACATGATCATTTATAAACATGCAAGGTACGAGTCATGGTAATCTGACATAAATCTTTGGCAATAATTAGATTTGTTTGCTTTGCATTAGTCAACAATCCTTTTGCTATAGGTAATTAGTAGAATTAAACATACCCTTTATCACCGTAGGTTAAATAGGCGGTGATAATTAAGGCAACTTTCTTTCTCTTTTCAGAGTTTCTGGAGAACGACTCATTAGATAAGTTTAAATCTTTCAGAGAAAATTGATCTTGATGAGTAGAGCAAAAATTGTCAGAGATTCAAAATTTCCAAATATTTCTCTGTAGAAGATATTAAGATTGCAAGTAGAGTCTATCGCGTCCAAAATTCTCTACCCAGGATTCTGTCAAACAGTACTTTGATATTCTCAATAAAATTTTCTAACCGGAATAGGATATTCCTTCCAAAAATACTAGATACTGTTTTCTCAGCTTTTTTCATTCGATGACTAGCATGCGCTATATATTTCTCAGAAAAGTAGAGACCATCAGACTCAACATTTTTGGGATCTATTCGATGGGTTCTAGTCGTAAGAATTCACAATGGCTCTGTTTCTCATCTGCTATGCGTCTCATATAGAAGTAAACAATTTTTTTGCGTATATTATATATTATTTTTTGATGTCCCCCTTTTTTTAGTTACCGTAAAAAGCTCGAATTGCAAAGTGTCGAAAAAGTAAAATGTCGAATAAAACAGGATTTCGAATAGATAAAAATTTCGAAAATCAAAATCTTGAAAGGCATCCTTTCATTCGATTACTATTTAGTTAGTTTCATGTAAACATTCCTATTAATCGAGAATTTCTGCCACATTTTTCGTCCATCCATTCTTGATGATATGCATTTTAGCGTGTACAGAGTCTATCCAAACCCACAATAATATACCTTCCTTATTTTGATAGATTTTTGTCTCTTAATGTTATTCTCATTTAAAATTGTCTGATTAGTATAATAACAATTTTCTTGTTTTGTTTTCTAGGATCCAAAAATCACATCACTTGACGAAGCTCTTATACGTTTTTGTGAACAATCAACACTTTTCGATTATATTGATAGTAAAACTCGTCAAAATGTATGTAAACAATAATTTAATAACAAACAAAAAAAAGCTTATATCATAAATTTAATTTCTTTAGGTTCATACAAATAAAACAATGTTAATCGAACAATTACCACCCATACTTATCATACATTTAAAATGTTTTCTTTATGAAGAATCAGATGGAACAAAAAAAATCAATAAATCATTAAATTATACTGTTAATTTAACATTACCAAAAAGTAAAAAACAAAAAAAAAAAAAACGAAAAATCTTTTTTTAATACAATATAAAATATTTTTCTTTTCAAAGATATATTAACTGAACAAGCACGAAAACATTCTCATGAACGATATAAATTATTTGCTGTTGAATATCATCGAGGTGAACATGCAACCGATGGACATTATATAACTGATGTATTTCATCCTGGTCTTCAAGGATGGCTTCGATATGATGATGCCGATGTTCATGTTGTTACATCAAGTCAAGTGATGAATTCATCAAATGAAAAACTTACGCCTTATTTACTTTTTTATCGTCGCGGCGATTAGATATATTCTCATTTCGTTCATTTTTTCGAACAAAAAAAAAAAACTTCTTTCTTTGATTAATGATTGTTCATTTCTTTTTGTTTTGTTTCGTTGGCGCGCAATAGCTCTCTGTCACTCTCACCTTTTGTTCTCATCCGAGTGTATTCTCTCTTTATCTCTTGTTTTGTCTGCTCAACCAAACTGTTGTTCTTCTTTCGTTTTTGTTTTTCCTATAACCGGTGTAGATCGATGAGCAAGCTATTTGCTTCTATTAAAAACAAAAATACAAGCTTATTACTCTTTTTTTTTGTCTTGATGATTGTGGTGATGGTCTTTTATTCTTTTCTTGTTTTTTTTTCTGTATTGTCATGTAAAACATCCGGTTACTTATGTTGACTGGTAACATGCATATTTAATGCATATTGTTTGTAATGACAATCGATTGTTTGTTTTGTTTTTCTGTTTTTCAATTCTTATTCTTCACGCAAACATAGAAACCTTTCACTTTTTTTTCTCCTTTTTTTGGGCTCGTTACCATTTAGCATTTTTCCTTTATCATTTTTTTCATCATCAACAACTGTGTGTTTTCTTTCTCTTTTGTTTTCCTTTTTCTTTTGTTTTGGTCGCTTTGTTTTTCGCTCTATGTCTGTTGTTTGTTTACTATGGTCTTTTTCAGCACACACTCACTTATATTATCTTAATCTTTTTTTTCTCGTCACTATGCGCACAAGCATATCTTTTGATGATGAGCGCCCAAAATAAAAAGAAAAAGACGATTGTGTGGTTTTTGGCGACATAAAAAAAGAAAATCTGCAGATTTACATTTATTTATTCATACTTATTCAATGAAGGGGAAGATTATGATTGAGATGGAATAGTTATTGCCCTGGTTTATTATATTGCATGTAGTTGATATTTATTCATAGAGGACGAATTAGGTGTTTATATCCATCACTAAATAGGAGTTCATAATAAATAATATCGGGATGAATATAATATAATTGTTTCTTTTCATTATAGAATAAAAATTTATCTATCGAAACGCATTCATCTACTACTTAATAATAATTAAACTCAGGTGTTAGTAAATTTCAATGATAACGTGAGCGCTATTCGTTTCTTTTTCTTGTTTCTAATATAATTTCATATTTTCTAATGGAAAGAACGAGATTTTACATATGAAAAAGAAAATAATAAGAAAACGCTCACACTTTTTTCTTAATTATTTCTTTATTTTATGAAAAAAAAAACGACTTTTCGTAACATGACACATTTTAGAAAATAAAATCGATCGATTATAAAATGTTCCGTACAGAACACTTGAAGAATCATTCTAAACAATGTTTTAGTAACTCTAATATCGAAATTTTTGAAATACAATGACTAAAAATTGAATTAACAAATGCTTAACATTTGCTTTAAGTTGTTTTTTTGTTCAGAAATTTATATGAAAAATTTTTATTTAGCCGAGAACAATAAGAGATAATGAACAAATAGAATTGTTTCAAGAAAAAACAATGGCAATGAATAAAATTTGAGATTATTTTCGTTGAATTTCAAATGAAATTAATAACCATACTTTTTACAAACACGTACAATTGAAAAAAACTCAATATGGAGAAAATTTGATCACTCTATTTTGATGTAAAAGGGAAGACGTCATTGATTATACTATTGGATTGATAGAAAACAAAATAAAACAGATTTATTAATAAAATAAATATCAATTAAATTTTGAGAAACTCTTGTCAAAACTGATTTCTCTTTCTATTGTATTAGAACAATAACTGTCTATATTTCAGATAACACAATGTCAACTTCATTAACGGTAGCTCGTTGGTATTTAAGAACAAAAAATTTTCAAGTGTACAATAGTTTATCACGACAAACTAAACAAACCTCTTTATCCAGTACACAACAAAAATATTCTGGAAATTGTAAAAATTTAATTTCTTTTTTTCAATTATTTTTTCTTTACAAATATTTTCTCGTCTTATTTTATAGTACCAACTGCATTGATTACAACTCTTTTGATATTTATAATAAAATTACCATCTTATATCGAACGATATTCTCGTTAATTGTCATAATCAAGAAGTTAAAATTCATAATAATGAACGAATCAATCGGTGCTTTTTTGTCTTATTTGATAAGGAATTTTTTATGTATAAAATAAAGAATTCAATTCAATGTAACAATCAAATAAAATCTTCTGATTTTTTTAAAAGAGAATTTTCAATGATTGATTTCGATAATGAGAAATGATAGATAACATAAACAACATCTGCAAAAAAGAAAAGAAAATTGTTTTATGATGCAGATGTTTGACATAAGTTTAACATTAATAATGTGAGAGCAAATACTGGATGACAATTTGGTTCTATAAAATCATTCATTTACTATTTCTCAGTATTTCATAAGTTTATCATCTATTTATATCGAAATCAATTGATAGTCTTCATTATTAATTGATCATAAGTGTCATTTGAGTTGTTTGATTCAAGCATTGAGAGAGCTGTGGTTTATCATGAGAACTAGTCAACATAAGAAGTATGTTTGAATCATTTTACTCAAAAATCATAGCAAAAAAATATTCAACATATGTTACGATAAGCATAAAAAAATTATTATAACTAATGTTAACCTTGAAAAACAAATGAAACTTAGTTTGTCATATATTTATGTTATTTATATGTAATTATGATCAAAATGTCAGCATAAACACACCATATCTGCATGAGAAAAACGTGAAATACTATATCAGAAAGAGTGTAAAAAAGAACTATGTATCATAGTTTCATGGTTATGTCACATAATGAAATTGTGTTCATTGGAACATTTTCATTATAATATTTAATTATGTAAAAGAAATTCCAGAGATAAGCTCATAATTTCTAGATAGTATTAAATGAATTATTTATTAGTGAAATTCAATATATTAACTAGAAAGGAATTGAAATTATTAAAAAAAATATAACAGATCGGTATCAAAACTTTCAAATATGTCAAGTCGTTTTTTTTTGTTAATATTTAAATACTAAAATCAAAAGTTCCAAACTCTAAAAGCTAAAGAATTTAGTCAGAACTAGTTGAAAAAATATTGAAAAATCATTGTATTGGGCTGGAATTTCTCTAGTGATTTCCGGCTGGTTTTTGCCGTAAATAACAGGGAGTTGGTGAGTAATCTTCGGAAAAATTCGAAAACATTCATCAAATTTCGGAGTTTCTTTTCCGAAAACTGTCCGTAGGCCTTCATCTGATTAAGGTCTGTTATTAAAAATCGACATACAGAAAAGAAAGACTTCATATCTATCTGATATTCATATTAATAATGTTGATAGTTTATAAATTCAATGATCAATATCAAATCTATCTCAGATTAAATTCATCAATTACTTAATAAACGATGATTTTGACGTCGCCATCAGTAAAATTCGATGAAAAGAAACGCGAAAAAATAGCAAAATGACATTTTCAATTAGATGCAATCAATTTCCAACATATGCTACACTTCTATCTTGGTAAATTGAAATTATTCTTATTAGTTGCAATCAATTAAACCGACAATATTTTATATAAAATATTTTCATTACTTTAGAATCGATAAAAAGATTTTCTTTGCTAGATACAAATTTTATATAAGAATAGAAGAATTCTGTTGGAAATTATTACTCTAGTGTTTTTGTTAGTAACAACATTTTTTCAAAGTATTCCTCAATTTATAGTCAAAGCGTTTCATAAAGACTTTTTTTTATCGATTCTTGCAGCATTACATTATTATTATTGTCCATTGTATTAAAAATATCTATAAAAAAAAAAACCTTATCTCACTGATTTCAATTGGTCAATTGTCCTTCTTTATAAAGATTTTTTGAGAAATGAAGAAATAAAAATTTCTCAAGACTCATGAGAGAATTTAAAGAAATATTTGTCAACACTTGTTTATCAGCTAAAATAATACAGAATTTATTTCATAACTAAGAACAATAAGTTTTATTAATTCTATGGACATCAGACGAATATATGTTCTATTTTTATATGACTGTTATTCATAGATAATTCGATCTTGTACATGACAAAAAGAAAAAAAAATAGATAATCTATAATATGACAAAATATCATTGTTCATAAATTCATTTTATAAACGAAAATGATTTGCGATTCATTTTTTTCTATAGAGTGGCGTGGTCAAGCGTTGAGAAATTTCATTCTTTTATATTGTAATATTTATTTCTCATTAATAGCAAAAGCAAATTCTTTGAAAATTTTGCAAGTGATAGAGACCATTTAGATCTACTATCAGGAAAGATTTCATTGATTTTTGTTTAGTTACAGCTAAGCTATTCAAAAAACAAAACCGATCGTTACGAAATTTCAAAAAATGGAATTTTTTTAGTGTAGATGAGAGTTTAACATTTTGCTATGAAACGAAGCGATATACAAACGAATATTTTATATAAAAATTGCGCAGTTTTTAACAAATTTTCAAAATATCAGGTCATTTCTTAACAAGTATAATTGCATCAAATAAGAAACTAAAAATAATTTTTCTTGCAGAATTTCTTCATTCTTCTGAAACTCATATTTTGTACTGGAATGAAAGTAAAAATGGTTAGAAGCAACCAGATAATAGTAATGGCATCGGGTTATGCATTGAATTGTGTATTTTTCACTAGAATTCAACGAAAAAAATTGTCGAGACAAATCAAAGTTGAAGTTTTGATAAATCAAATACTTCATTATGTTTAGAATTTGAGGATAATTCCAAATATATACTCACTTATGAACAAAAAAGGTGCAAAAATGCTTAATGATCTAAAAATTCGATGATTTTCGAATGCTAATAAAATTCTATAATGCAGTATTTCTAGAAAAAGGATGTAAATATTAAATCATATTATGCTTAAAATGGATGTATCCAGTGGAGCTTGCTGAGTTCTATCGGACGGTATCATTTTTTCGCGAAAATCATCTCTGTCAGCATGCAATATATACAATAAGCGAGTTTCATTACTGAATTTCATCAACAAGAAAGATGGTTTTTTGAGTGCATTATCTTGGCTTGTAGACATTTAACATTCCTACGAAGATCGTATGTTGAAAGAATACTTCGTACTCTACTGATTAATATCTAAGCGAAGAGTTTTTTTTCCAATGATCTCGACATTTATTTAAAGATGTATTCCATTATCATGTTCTACACAAATTGTTGAATGTATCACTTTACAAAAAAAACATTTCGTGTATTCAGAACATTCATTGTTGCTTAGAAATCGAAATGCTTTCATTTCAAATACTATCGATTGTGCTCCTTTCAATAGTAGACTCAATTTTCGTTACTATTAAGTTCGAGCCCTTTCCATTTGTAAGTGATCAATATGAGACCATATCGATACGTGATCATAAGTACATACATAAAAAAAAAGGTTAAACAAATCTGATATGATGTTTCTTATGTCAAGATAACTAATATTCAGTGGAAATAAATTCTTTTATCTTTTTTTTATGAAGATGAAATAAAAGTATCATAAGGACACACTAGACAACCTTAACACAAAAGACAAAAAATGTTTGTCGTGATATTTGATGATAAATCGAATGAAATTTCAGGAAGAGATTACTGTTAGCCTATTGTTGTCATAGTGATTTGCTTGTAATTTAAATTGATGATATTTGTATTAATGCCGTTCTGTTAAAGCGCAGCTACTAATAGGATGTTCTTTCTTCTGGTATATCATATAACAAATGTTATCAAATTTCGTAGACACATAAACATGGTGTTATTTAACTATTCTGACGAAAGTAATTTGATGCAAAGTAAAATAACCAATTTTTTTTCATATACAAATCCATCAGAAACAAACTTGATTTTTTGCCCAACATTCAATTATTGTTTATAAAGATGAAATCAGTCATGGTTATCAATGAGTGTCAGCAGTCACAGTTTAAATAGATTTGATTGCCGTGAACACTATAGAAACAGTTAAAACTCAATTACCAAGCATAACTAAGAGTGTTGTTTTAGAAACACTGTACAAATTGAGATAAGTATTATTTTATTAGTCAATGGACGTGAACGATAATTTAATAAATGAAGAAAAAAAAAATTGGAAAACATTGTCAGTAGAATTCGCAGAAGATTAAATTGTAAATATAATGGAACTTTTATTCCTATCAATTGGACAATTTCAGCTTTACCGCATTCGGTTTATTAGTGATTGTATACTTTTAATATCTGTTTTATGAAAAAAAAGTTACTTATAATATATGATGATGAACATATAGAGAAATCAAATGAAGAGTTAGATATTTAAAACAGTAGCAAAAAAATAAGCGATCTGCCTGGTATAAAGCGCCTTATTTATGTGCTGGTTAAGGCTAGTTCTGTTATTGAGAAAGTACTACCAAAATTAGCTCATATTTATCTAAAATATCTTGGAATAAATTACTTACCTAAACTCGTTTAGACTGATCAACGATGAAGGTTAGTACTTTTAAACATCTTTATCAATTGTTATTAATAAGTAATGTTGACTTAGGTTGAAGATTGACAACTATTTGGTTATCTATGTTTTTTCTAAGTATCGTATGAAACATGTGTTTAAGAATCACTTTAGAGTTGTTTTTTAAGTCTTACGACTACAATCTCCATAAGATCTTTGTGCAAATTTTGTCTCAAGGATGTGCTTTAATTCCCGTATTAACTAATGCAACTTAGAATGTTTAGTAAAAACTTGTTGACATAAAATCTACTATCAAAACAATTCAATAAAAAGTTTTATATTATAGAAAAGATTGTCATAATCTTCTTTCTCTTAGTCATTCATAAGACTAAAACAAGAATCCATTCGTTTCTTTTTCTATGTGTTATTTTTATGTAAAAAATTTATTTGATGATTTTATGAATTTGATGCACTATTTGATGGTTGATCTATGATTATTACAGGTGAAGTAATATTGTCCGTAGGTCCTTGTATTGTATTCTCTTTTGCTAATAAACATTTAAGAATACGTGATAAAAATTTATCCCATGCTTGCTCATAATTATTTGTGAATTCATATCTAAACATTTGAAAACGTTCGCGAATTATGTCGATGATACATGTTTTCAATATCTAAATTGAAATAGAAAAAAAAAAAGAAAGTAATACTAAATAATAATTTATTTGAAAATATACTATTAAAGAATCATGTTCAAGTGTAGATATGTTTTGTAAAAGTTGAAGAGATTCAATTTGTCTTGAAAAAAGATTTTCATCATTAATTGATGATAAAAGTTTTTCAAATGTTAAAATAAAATGAGTACTATGTTCACGTAATCCAATATGCCAACTGCAATCACTTCTTATACATGATTCACCTTCACCAAAATCAAAATTATTAGCATCTATAATCATTTTTGACGTCCAATACTGTCGAAGAGATGAACTTTGATTTATAGTTCTAAAATAAGAATTTTTCTTTTGCTCTTTTTTGTTGCTTTTCATTTTAGAATTTCTATACCTGATAAGAACTTCATCAGCAAATTTAGCAATGCCAGTTGTTTTTAAAATATTCCATGTTTCAGTTAAATATGATATTTCTTCTGAAGTAAATGAATATTGTTTCTCACTACACTTCAATGATGAATAAAAACAGCCCATAGACTTTACTTTTTTATTGATTTGTTATGTTCACATCTACGATAAGATACTTTCCTTTTTTTTTCTTCTTCTTCTCCATTCAATAGCAAGCACTTCTTTTTTTCTTCTATAAAATACTTTTCTTCATTCCTATTAATCCTTTGCATTTTTTATTTATAATTAATCAAAAAAAAGATTTGTGCTTATCTTAATATAAATTTTTTATATTTCTCGACAAAACAAAAAATAAAGAAATAGAAATTCATTTTAAAATTCTAAATTAAATATCACCAGTCAAGTGAATCAGCAAGATTTTCTAGTTGTTCTTTTGAAAGATAAAATTGATTGTACCAACGACGCATTTTTAATATTGGACCATCTTTTTTAACAAGAAATGGAGAACGTTGAAATATCTAAAAGAAAAATATTCTCTATAGATTATTTATATTTTTTTCTTTTATTCTAACCTTATTTTCCCAAACAATAATATCTCGATGCCATTGTGCAATCCAATTTCCAATAATATACCAACTTAGTAATCGAGGTATTTTTTTTTCAACATAAGCTCGAAACTCAACATCTAATTCTGTATAATCAGTTGGTGTATGAGTATGAAATAAATAAATTCTTCCAAATTTTCCATCAAAACGAAATAATGTTATTCCACCCGGACCATAAAATGTGATTGATGCATCAACTTTAGTTGATTCATAGTTTTTTCCAAATAATCTTAACATTGCTGTATCATAAAAATATACTATATATGGTTTATCACTACTAAATTCTAATGATGCTTGATGATGAATAAATATACGTGGTATCTGTATTTGAGTCCATGGTATACACATTTGACCATGTAATGGTTGAAAATGTTGAAAATCAGCTGCATTTTCAGAAAATTCTTGTAAATGCATGTGAATATTTGGATAACGATGAACACCACGACATTCAAAACGATTACCTAATAATTCATCAATACAAATAGCATCATAATGAGGAGGTTCATTTAATAGATGATACCAAATCATAATCATTCCATGACGTTCAACACATGGATATGTTTGCATTTTACACTAAACAAAAATCAATAGATTCTCTTCTTTTTTTATTTTAACAAATAAAATATATCGTTTTTGTTTTTTACTTTTTCAGGTATTTTTCCATCGATATATGGAATTTTTGTACAATGACCAGTTTGTCCATTAAATTCCCATAAATGAAAAGGACATTGAATGCAATTTGTACCTGGCATAACTCGTCCACCAAAAGCTAAATTTGCTCCCATATGAACACAAAATGCGTCTAGGACATATATTTGACTATGTTCATCATCAGATCGAAAAATAACCATTTCTCGACCCAATATAAAAGCATGTTTTATTTGACCTCGTTTAGCAATCTCATCAGAATTACAAATACGATACCACCCACATGGATATTGACGAGAATATGTTTGACATCGATCAATACCTCGACGAGTTGATCGAACGGTTTTTTTTGTTCCTATCCATCGATGTATAAAGAAAAAAAGAAAAATAATGGGAAGAAAATACCAATAAATTGAAAATAACGAATATAGTTTGTCACTAATAGATATATACATAATATTTGTCTAAAATATAAAATTTTTCATAAATAATACGTATTGAATACAAAAGATTCATGTACATTAATTGAACTAAAGACGTTCAATAAAATATAATTAATGCATCAAAATAATAATTTATTTGTATCTTTAGGTAAATACATTATGCAAAGAAAAATAACTTTTCTCTTACATAGAGTAACATAATTCAATTTCTTTTTATTGAAAAAGTTTTATATTAACAATAAATACAATACTAAAATATCTTTACATATATCTTTGATTTATCGATTGCTTTTATGTGTACAGTATTTGTTGTCGTGCACTTCACGAACAGATAATCGAATTGTGGTTTTGTCGCATGCTATTGTATATTATTTTGTTCAGCAAAATCATTTGTGTATACCTTGTTTTTCTTGTAACTGCTTACCTGAATTTCTTCGTGCATAACTGATGTGGTGTGTGAATGTTTTCATTTTGAGTTTGAAAAGAAACATGCAAACGTTACAAACAACAAAACCATTATTTTTTTTTTGTGCAATATAACCATAAGCAACGCAATGTTTTTTTCTTTTCTATAAATGTATGCTGATTGGAAATGGCTTGAGTGACATATAATGAAATATATATAGTCAGGTACTTTGATCAGTTTAATTGAGTTTTATTGCTGCTACGATAAAAACATTAGATTTAACTTTGTAAATATTTGTATATAAATTTAAAACGAATGATCAAACTTAAAATAATCTATTCTATGCAAATCCAATAACAACATAAAAACACAGCATTTATTTGACGAACATACGTGTTCTAGAAGCTCACTTGTTCGCTAAATTTTTATGATATTTATGTTTTATTTTTTCTAGAAAAATTTCACAATAAATGGAACGCAGAAACTATTTAACATATGGTGTTGTGTTTTTCTGAAATGGATTGTAAATGATTATAAAATATTATTTTTAATGAACTTTTTCTTATAAATTGTTTTTGTAAAAAAGGAAAATGTAGGTCTGTGAAAATAGCATTATTGTGCTGCATACGATGAGACTACTGAATTTATTTTTTTGAGATTTTTTGAATTTATATAAACCAATGGATTAATCTATTGATAGCATATAATAAAAATTAACTGTATCAAAAAAGAGCTATAGTTCAGAAGAGTAAAGCTCTCAACAGCACCTTGTATGTCGTTCTGACTTGTCATTTTTGCTATCATTCTAAAATAGCTACTTGTTTTCGGTCTAATCCCTCCCATCTGCCGATAATATATATAAAGCGGGATTTTATAGAAAAATCCGTCCCAAAAGAAATATCCCGGAAACTGCTGGTATAACATAAAAAAAATCTATATCCTCTAGCGTTTTTTTGCTATATGAAACATTTATAGGCTTCATTGTTTCTTTTATTTTTTGAGTAACAGTTTTTCGACGATTGGACAAAGAAATAATCCTCTAAGAGTGTTGCTTGTTTGGTCTTGAACATAAATCTGTTAAATTTCTTTTGTTATATATTCATATTACATTATTGCAAAAATATGAGATTAGCTATCGTTTCAATGTCTGCAACAAAGATTCCTATAAATCATATGTTTTTATAATATACATAAATTTAAAAAAAGCAATGAATTTAATCCAATATCAAACTAGAAATTATCGTAATCATGAAGTAATATTGTTTAACACTTTAATTCTTTTCTAAACGAATTTCGCTTAGGTCAACATAGTTTCAATACGATAATAATAAACCTCCAATACATAAGTAATATTGAAAAAACAATTGGTTACTGATCATGTCTTTCAAATAATCAATTAATCAGTCAACAATGTAGATCTAAATCATACAGACAATATTTGGTCAATCGTAAGATATAAGACTGAAAGCAGAAAATCAAAATAGAAATATTAACAAAGTGAAATATGTTTTTTTTTAAATCAAAGAGTTTTATTATGCTAGTATGAATGTTGTAAAAAATGAAAACGTTATCTATGAGAAAATGATGTTTTTCTGTGATTTCTTTCAAAGATGAATGAAGAAAATATAAAATTATACTCTTATATAATACTCGTTGCGAACTATCACTTGAACAATGAAATGATTTTTTTCGATGTACATAATAATCAATGTACACAAAACAATATTTCCATGGTTTCTTTCCAACAGTTATATAACAATCTGAATATCACTAAGAAAATACAAGCAAAGGGTTTGTCTAAATGATTCTCAACATGTCACTGCTTGAATTTTCAAGTGTATCGAAAAGTTAAAAATCGATCATGTAATCAATTCATGTACAGTCATTCATTTTCTTTTCTCTTATTCGGTCATTCTAAAAATATATTGCTTCATTTTTGTAGTCTTAACACGTTCGAATTTATGCACATTGGATAAAGAGAATGATAAAAATCAATAGTAAAAGTATCGAATCATTTGTATGAAAAACTGACTATTAGAATAAATAAATCAAGGGTATTTAATTTTTATTATAGAAGTGAACATTTCAACAAAAGCGATTTTACGTAGCGATCATCATACAAATAAATTCTTTATTAGAGTTATTTTTTGAAATAAAAGGGTTTTTTTGTTCTTCATATATTTGCATACACATAGCACGTGACTCTTTCGTTCGTTCGTTCGTTTGTTTGAGGAGACTAGTGACAACAGTTTTTACTTTTCTTTTATTCATAACTAGGCAAGCATTCAAATTTGAAATGTCTTTAACAAATGATACATTATTAGAAACATCGATGCTTTCATCATCACAAATTCATATTGATAAAAATTGTCGATCATCAAAACGCTTTCGTCCATCAGTTCAATGTAATCATATTAATAAACAAACTAATGAACAGTGTACAGCTGATGGTTTCATGGAATGTGTCCATTGTGATAAAATATGTTGTCTTATTCATATAACTCAACATCAAGATGAATTAAAACATTTACGAGATGATCTTGTTGAAGTTAGTCAATTATTTTAATAAAGTTCATTTTTATCCTTTCTTTTACTAATGAGATTTTTTAGGAAGCCAGTGAAACTTATATTACATTAAGTGAAATGCAAGTTACTGATTCTCGTGAACAGCTTCAATCAAATTTAGCTTTATGGAAAAAACGAATGTTGAATAAAATTGAACGAATTTATGACAAACTTCTTGGTAATCATTTGAATTTTTTTTTAAAACTTTTATAGATCTTCTTTAAAAAGTAAATTATGAAATACGATAGAACTGTTTTTGTTATAAAAAGAAGATGATAATTAAAATCTGTTAAAATTATTTCAAAGAGAAAATTTAAGATATCAGTAACTAACGATGAATAGAAAGAAGTTCAATATTAATGATCATTCGTATTACATAAATGAATATAAGAGGTTTCACTTGAAAAGCCATACACAAGCCTTTACTGTAATTATATAAAAAGGAAAAAAAAAACTTTTTTTTTTATATATTTTCAAAAAATTTATCCTCCTATATAGGATATTATTTGATCAAATAGTTTTAATGCTCTATGATTGAAATTGTTAATAGTCTCAAGCAAAATTCATCGTAATGCAATCGATTTTTATACTATAAAAAATTAATTTTATCATATTTAAAAATCTACTTCAGATCTCAATCCGATTATAAAGTTTCTAAAGAGGATTATGAAAATGATCTAATTCATTTTTATAAAATTTTCCAGAGAACACATCATGATTTTGATCTATGTAAGTTTGACTATTTTTAGATGACATAGAACAATCATTTATAAAAGTTAGTTTCGATTTTGAATTAACAAAAAAAAATCTTGCAAATGAATTTGAAGAAAATATTTCAACAAAATTAGAACGACTTTCAACAAAATGTGATTTTTATCCTCATGAACTCGATGAATTAAGATTATCATTAGATGAAATGAATATCCGTATACGTGAAGCACGTGCATCAATAATAAATATTAATTTTGGTAATGGAAATACTTGTCTATTAGATAATGATGATACATTTAAATATAACAATAATATTGAATCACCAGAAATAATAATTCAAACAAAACCTGATATTGAACGGATTCTTAATGGTTCTTATTTTAGACAATTTAATATTGAAATTGATAATGATTCTAATCATATTCCACTTTTATACGATACATCAAATAAACATGTAAATATTTTATTTCTTAAAAACAAAGAAATAAAAGTTCTGTTTATTATTTAGCTACTCGTTTGTAATAATGAAAGTAATACTCTTGAATTATTTAATCATGAAGAACGTATTGGTGGAGGTTTTTGGCCAAAAGAATATTCATTAATAACATGTATTAAATGGTGTTCATATTTAAATACATTTCTTGTTCTTTGTTCTAAATCACTTTATGCACTTAATTGCTCTCAAGAACCATTTAATATTTATCCAATTACACAAGTAAAAAAAAACATGAGATTTTTTTTCTTTGATTTTCTTTCTTTTAAATCAGGGCTCTCAATTATTTTTCGAAGTGAAAAGGGATACATTTGACAGACAATCAAAGACAGTTCGTTTAGTTGAAAGTAATTGACATGAAAACCTCGCCAGGTGTCAAATCGCTTTTCGACTGAGACGATATTCGCTTGATGAGTATATTAGTGAATAATAGAAAAGTCTAGAATGGTTTGATTTTCTGGGTTTTCATTCGTGAGATATCAAAATTTTACTGGGCATTTCAACAAAAAGTTTGGTCACGTCTAAAATCAACTTTTCAGTTTCGATTTCAAACTTTGCACAAATTAAGTTTTCAATGAGATTAGTTCATTAGACAATTAGTAACTTTTCTAGTACCTCCTATTTTGAGATATTCAATATTCAAAATTCTCTTATGTGTAAAAGCTAGTTTTGTTCATATATTTACATCTGTAGAAATTGTTGAAAAACCAAGTAAAATTTTGATATCTCATGAAAGAATGCATGGAAAATAAAACTTTTCTATTATTCATTAGTATTCATTAAATGAACATCGTCTTAGTCACAAAGCAATTTGACATTCGGAGAGACTTCCTCATGCGAAAAGTTGTCATATTAAAGTTGGTAGACAGTTTTCTGACAACAGCTCAAAATTATTGCAGACAAGACGTAAAAGATGCCGGTAGGGTTAGCCTTTCCCAGTCACTCTCATATAAAGGCCTATGTTTTTTTATGATCAATCATTTTATTTTTAGATAACACCAATAGATGGTAATCCAATGAAATATATAAGTGTAAATAATAATTTATTATTAATAAAATATGGTCATGGTTTATTTATTGATAATTATTCATTAGAAAAAATGGAATTAATTAAACGTTGGTCAAAAAAAGATTTTTATCCAGATAATGAAAATACAATTGATATTCATCGTATTGAATTATATTCAAATTTTTATCTTGCCATGAATGTTGAAATAAATGATGATCATGATGTTTTAGATATATTTATTTTTCCGAATATGCAACATATACGAAGATTAGAAAATTCATATTTAATACTTTATTTACCATTAAATAATTATTGGATAATTAAACAAAAACAAGAAAATAATCAAATAGATTTATGTCTTTTAGATCAAAATGGACATATTGATCAATTAAATATAATTAATAGTGAAAATATCAATAGTATACGTTTATTTGGAAAACATTTTCTATTAGTTACACGACAAAATAAAAACTCTATTCAAATGCAATTATTTCATATTGATAAATTCTAGATTACAGTTACATATAATGTTGTTTGTGTTTTTCTTTTGTATGTATTTATTCTAGGATTTATATATAATAAAAAAAAAAATCTCGTTTAGAAAGATTAGTTTCAAATTGTTACGTTACATAAATCTATATATAGATATATATAGATATTTGCAATGATTCATCAATCTTGATCATTCATAAACATACGAAATATATATTATTCATATAAATGCATTCATACTTTTGATAAGAATAGGAAAGAAAGCAAAAAATTCTCTCTCGATTCACATCATAGGAAGAAGACACTATTTTCTATTCTTAGCAATTCGAGTATCCTAAAAATCAAATGAGAATATAAACCCATTGAGGCAAAAAGAGGAAAAAAAAGGATTAAGCCACTTCACATACCCAATCTAACATTCGACTCGCATATCCTCATTCTCTATTTGCGTTATTTATTTGCATACTCATATATATATATACATATTCAATAAAAATTCGACAGTAGTAATGCCAACTAGTTCGACAATAATCAATCTTGGTTATATTTTAGACGTTGCCTTTTTTTTTTTTGGTTAGATATAAAAACTAGTTGCAAAAAGAAAATATGCTATAGTTGCCATGATGTGAGAAAGAAAAAACAGCGCTATTCTTTTTTTTTTTCTCATTGCCTTTTATTACTTCCTCATCATCACCATTTTTGATCCTACACTAAAATAAATTCTCTTCTTTATTTGACATTCTCTTTATATTCATCCGAACTGGTTTTTTTTTTTGCTTCTTCTTTTTTTATTTCTATTCGTCTAGTTATAAACGAACTCTATGACACGACGAGACCTTGATACTTTTAGCCTCGTCAATGGAATATCTGGAAGTGCTGAAGCCGTTCATTTTTCTTTCCTGTTCTTTTTCTTCTTCTAGTCTTTGTCAGCTTACACTTAAAAATTTATCATTATCGAGACTATAGGAAGCATACTAATTTGTCTTCGTCATTCTTTTCAAAGACAAATCGGGCGTGTGAATATTTAGTTACTGTCGTCGACGTCGAACTCTACAAAAAATTCCTCGTTTTTTTTTCTCTATAATTTTGCTCTCTGCTATAAATGTGTTTCTCTTATTCTAGATCGTGTACGTTCATTTTAAAATATTTAAATAAGAAAGAGGTAAAATTCGTTAGTCAGTTAGTCGAACAAATTCTATTAACGATGCGTTCATATAAACTTTTGTTCCTTATCTTTTTGGTATTATATTTCATTGCCGGTATTTCACTTCTCATTACCGGTAGTGTAGCTCATAGACATGCGGCACATTGTAAGTTCAATTTTATTTATTTAATACTTAATTAATTTGTATTTGGATGATTTTTTCTTGTCAGTTTCGAATATTACTGGTTATTCCCTTATGTCTGGTGCCGGGTTTATTATTGCATTAGGTGTTATTATTATTATTTTAACGGCAGTTGGTAAATAGACCTAAGTTTATTTTAATCAAAAAAAAAAAAAAATCTAATTCTTGTTTTAATTAGGTCTCATTGGAGTCTATAAAAGCCGTTTAAATTTATTAAAAATTTTTATTGGATCATTGATTATAATAGTTTTACTTCAATTGATTGTTGCAATTGCTACATTTAGTCTTCGTAATAAAGCTAATTATCAATTACGTACAAGATTAATTCAATCATTATCCAATTATAAAAATGGAAATCAAGATATTATAACTGAATGGGATCGTCTTCAACAAACATGGTCATGTTGTGGTGTTGATAAAGCTGATGATTGGAGTAATTATGGTCAACTTAGTGAACCACCAGCATCATGTTGTCTTAATAATGATTGTACAATACCATCAATAAATGGTACGGCTTATTTTAGTCGCGGTTGTTATGAATCAACTCTTAACCTTGTCTTTCAATATTCAAAAGCATTAGGTGGTGTTTCATTATTTTTCTTTTTTATTGAAGTTGCTGGTCTTGTCTTAGCTGTTTTTCTTCTTCGTGATCTTAAAAATAATTATGGAAGTGTTTAATTAAGAAAAACTAAAATAACCAAAAGCCTTTTTCTTTTCTTCTTCATTGTCATTTATTAACGCTTTTAGTTTTGTTCGCTTCCAACGTTTAGCGTTCATCATTATTTTCTTTTTTTTTTCCTGTTGTATAGTTCTTAGATGATTATAATATTCTGTTGTTCTTTGTTGTTTTATTATGTTAAACTTTATATTTCAGCTAAATAATAATGAAAATATTTTAATTTTGATCTATTAATGACTAATGATGTTTATAAAATGTTGAAATTACAGAATAGATTTATGAATATTAATTAATAATAAAATAGATAGATTTCTATAATTATCAATAAAAAAATTAGAATACAGTTTTTAATCCCCAATTCATATTCAATGAAATAAATATTGAATAAAATTCAGTGTTTGAACAATTTATCATATTATATCAATGCTGGGAGAGAAGTAGTGACTGCAGTAGAGCTGGTTCAATTTAGATTCAAATTTTTTTCTATTGAACAAGTCTAAGTAAGAGTTGTAACTAATTAGGTTCGATTGGTTTATTGAATCATTATTATTAATTGGCGAATTGAAATCGATTCAGAAAAGATTCATTTTTCTTTTCGCACTCAAGTTTTTACAAATTTTCAGGAAGAAATATCATTTTATAGTCGTTTATATCTGTTAGGTTCCTCAGAGACGAATATTTGATATTTATATAAACATAGCACGAAAAACAAGAGTTATTTACTGATTATCTGATCTTGAAACTCCAAATTTTAGCCTAAAACTTTGTTGATAGGCAGCTTTTGAAATCATTAAAATCTTCTAAAAATTTCAGCTAAAACTAATGGTCTCTTCTCGAGATATCAAATTCATAAAAATGCATGAGATTATATTCTCAAAAGGCGCTACTTAATTGATGGAGGTTTCATCTCAAATGCGAGGTGTCATCTCGAGGGATTTTCCCGCCAGCATTTTCAGACAAAACTAACATTTCTCTTCGAACGACAATCGAGACATAAATTTGATTTTTACCAAAATATATACAGAGTTGTCCAAAAGTTACCCGACAGTCTTCGATTACGAATAACTTTTGACAGAAACAATATAAAGAGTTGCAGCTTTCACTGTTAGAAAGCAACTGTTATACTGCGTCGTTACATATATTATTCAATAATGTTTGTTGATAACCTAATGTTTAATAAATGATTTTCTGAAAAAACACTTACAACTTTATGAAGATGACAAAGAAATTTAATTCGAAAAAAAAATTGTTAGAACCATATGTTCACAATTCACATTCACAGTACCACTTGATATTTCATCCTGTTCCATTCAGTACAGCCGCTTTCTAACAGTGAAAGCTACAACTCTTTATATTGTTTCTGTCAAAAGTTATTCGTAATCGAAGACTGTCGGGTAACTTTTGGATCACCCTGTATATGCAATAAGTTTAGCTAAAGTAATGCAGTTTTAATTGCGATTTTTTGGAAAAATCAAATACACTATGATTAAAGAAATAAAACAATATGGATGAATAGAAGAAAATAGAACAAATCATCATTGTCCTCAACTAGTTTTATTAGAGAGAAATGACATATCTATCAAATATGATCCAACTGGTTCGGTCAGGTTACAACTGTAGTCTAAGTGCGGGTCTAAGATTATAAAAACGTATGAAAACTCAAGTTTCAGTACAAATCTGAAAATCTCGAACCTGGTGTTGACTAAACTTGTGCTTTAATAAATTATTGATTATAAGGAATAATCTGATATCAAATAAAAACGACAAAAATCTTAAATAATTGCATTAAATAAATTAAGTGAATGGAGTTTGTATGCGTTCATTCTAAATCAAATATGCGAAGAAACCTTCTGATAGAATATGATGTAGTGCATATCAATTCCATTATTGTCATCGTTATTCGAAATCTTTTCTTTAAATGTTAGATCTTATCTAATACCTTTCACACACAAAAAACTGTTTATGCCAGAAACGTATTTATCTTTAGAGTAAAAATAAAAGTACAAAACCTATAATGATATTGAAAAAAAAAATACATATATAGTTTTCAAGTTAAATATGAAATGTAGTGATGACAAGATAATTAATGTTGATAACAATCTGCATTATTATGATTTTATCATTATCATTCTATTTATTAATTGTCCTGAATGAACTAATATATTGTTATGCAAAGATCTTTTTCTTTTTATTCAATGAATAAATAAAAGGTTTCAATGTCAATGAGAAAAGTTCCTATGTGTAAAATATATAAAACAAAAAAAAAAACACTTTCTTTTTTGTTGATGAAAAAAACAAAATTTGAAATTTATTCTTGAGTAAGCCAATCAATAATTTGTTCCCATTCATTCTTTTTTGGTTTTGAATAAATATAAATTATAGCATAATAAAATGTAAAACAAATAATTAATACAATAATGAATAATATCATTAGACGAATTAAAATAAGAAGAGTATTATTTATATAAATTGATAATAATGAAGATTTTTCATTTGATCGATGATAATATTCATTTAGATTGTATCGTATTGTTTTTCGTCTTTTTCGAGGTGTAATATCATTGAATAACTTTGACATTTGATTAAAATGAATTAAATTACTATTATGATTATTTCGATGTGGATTCTCATCAGTAGAAGAATGATGATGACAAGTTTTATAAATATGTTGCTGATCGTTGATTACACATCTCTGCTGATATGAATCGCCAGTTTGTTTAGAACAATCTGATGAAACAGTTCTGTCAGAAACAGGTGATGGCAAAAGTGAAGGATGAACAGTATGATAACGAAACGTTGATGTGCAATGTTGACTCATGTTAATTTTTCTTTTTCTTTTTTTTTTGTACTAATGAAATAATAATTAATATGGAAATAGGGCAAACAAACATTTTTTTCTAAGCGCTAAATATACAGTTTCAATGAAGTCAAGGGAATATATTACATGAAGCAAGTTATTGTTGACAGAATATATTTGTATGTTTATAATTAGAAATTTAATAGTCTCAGATAGAACATGTTGAACAACTTTTTTTTTGTTGATTTTATAATATTCATGAAACTCCATCATATTCATTTTCATTTTTCTTACGTAATTTTTCTTCCATTTGAAATAAAATATAATTTAGAAAAAATAAACAGACAAAAAAAATAAGTAACATATTTCTTTTTTTTTTTTGTTCCTGGTAAAATTGACCTAACCGATAATGTGCCATGTTTATTGTACTAAGACTTACATGAAGTACATAGATCGTTTTATGATCTTACGTCTTCTTTTTTTTTTTTTTTTGTATGATAATCAAGAGTATATTTGAAGATATATATAGCATACGTCTTAACTTTACAGTGTCAATTGTCAACAACAAGCTTTATCACTCTTACTGTCTTTCGCTTAATAATCTACTTTAGAATGAATAAGAAAAGAATCGTTTGCACTTTGTCAAAACAAGGTCTTGTCAAATGACAATGAGTTCAAATCGTCTGTCTTTTTGATTGATTGCTCTCAGCTGTTAGTTGAATGAATAGTAAAGTGGGTCACTGAATATTGTACAGTCTCTTTTTCAGTAACCAACGACGGTAGTACGGTGAATAATTGAGTCAACTCGTATAAGTGTCGAATAGGCCAATGAGATGATACCACTCTCTGATATACTCTTTATGTAAACAGACAAGTAGTAGTCATCATCATCATCATCGTCGTCGTCGTCGTCGTCTTTGCTCATCCATTGTTACTTCAGACGAATAAATGAAAGTTGATCTTGAATATTTGAACAGCTAGCTGAGTTTCTCAATACGTATGTAAGAGAGCAAAAAGAAGAAAAAGCAAAGATGATGTAAAATTACGAGACCGAGTTACTGCTGCCGTCCTAAGATTTCACTTTCCCCTATTCTCATCTTCTTGCGTACACTTCTTCACATATGAAAAAGAGAGAAAGAGAGAAAGAGAGAGCAGTGCGTAATAGTCTTTCTCAGATTGCACCATGTGAAGGTTGATCATGAACAATCATCAGTCAGCTAAAGCAAAAGTAGTTCAATAATAATTCTAAAGTAAGAGAGCAAGAGAACTCGTTTTTATGTAAATATATACGTTATGATGATGATGATGATGACTATGTGATTCTTTTTCATCAGTTCTCATCATGAGAGTTGTGCGTCTCAAGTTACGTTTTCTCACTCTTATTCGTATCTGTACATATAAATACTGAATAAAATCAGCAATTCTCTCCTTCTCTTTGAAAGGATATGCTAATGTACTCATTGATCAGACAAGAGGAGGCTCTAGGCTTAGATAATGTTTATTCATACTTTTAAAACTTACGTATTGATATATATATATACATATATATTTGAATTCACTTTTTTATGTACTAAATCGATCGAGTCTTCAAATAAATTTCTATCATGTGTTCAAAGATAAGCAGAATAGTTATTTATGACTTCACTTATAGATTTCAGCAGGTAGTCTTACGTTAATTTTCATCAGCATTTTTCTTTGTATATAAAAACCGCAGGCAATAACGTTTTTCATCATATCGCCTTTATTTTTCAAGAATGTGTTGTTCTTCTTTTTTTTCCTCATTTTTTTTTAACCGTATGCTTCTTTTATTGCATCTTACAAATATATACACATCCCATCATCGATCTCATCATAAGAGAGAGAGAGAACATGCACGCCCGACAAGAGAAAGAAGGAGAAAGGCTTGAAATTTTATTCTCTCTCTCCCTTCCTTCTTTTGTATATGTGTGTGTGGGTCGAAAAAAAGCAGAAAGAATTTCGATTCCTCCATACACATACATACATACATCTGAAATCAGTCTAAGTGTCCGCTTCGGTCTATCGTCAACGTCCATTGATGTAACAAAAAGAACGAAGAAAAAAGCAAAGACGTAAAACCGATGGCTCACCTGACCATCGTGACAAAAAGGTATTGTACATTAGAGTCTATACCCCGAATTAACGCAAATAATTGATTTCACGCAATCATGTCCTATAGATATTTCCGGTAGTGTGACGTTTTGTTTTTATTGTTACGTCTTTTTTCCTCACATTTCTTTCGTTCTCGTCAGTTTTATTTCCATTACTGGCCAATGTTTCCGATGAGAACGACAAAAAATGGATGCCATAATTATTCTTTAATGCATATATGTGTGCACAGAAAACTCAAGGTTCTCTTCTCTTTCTTTTTACATAAATTGATTAAATAGAATGAAGACTTGTTAGAGCTTTGTAACATTACGCCATAGAACACTTTTATGTTTATTCAAATAGTTGAAAAAGTCAGTAAGTCTTTTCTTTGGTCGATAGTACTATATTTCAGATGTTCTCATAAAGAATTGCATCATAGAGAAGCATGTAAATAGATACGCATCAAATTACTTGATTAGACTATCCTTGAATAAGACTGGTTTAACTTTCATATGCATGAGACGAAAAACCAAGTCAATCTTCTAGTAAGATCGATACAAAAAAATTAGAAAAAAAAAAAAAGAAAGAAAAAAATATGTTATGACGACAAGACAGAATTGTATGCATCCTTGAGTAAAATAAAGTATCTAATGAAATTGAAAAAGCAATTTAACTCTTGAGAAACAGCAGTCCAAAACAAAAAGTATGCATGTAGCATTACCTGTATGTTTACAAAACATTTTTTGATCATGTCTAAGAGAGATTGAGAATATTCTTTTTTGTCTCTTTTTCTAGTTCTTTTTTTTATGTCATCTTAGCTAGATTCTTCAACTAATCGAATCTATGAAAAAAAAAGTATCAACAAAACAAAAAAAAAATAAAAGAAAATAGAGACATCATTATCCGAAGCCAATATAAAAATCACAGTATCGTAACATACACAAAAAAAAACCTCATTTTTTTTTTCTAACGAAATAAAAATAAAACAAATTTCAATCTTGTTATATTTATTTTAGATCATTGATGACACAATGGCCAATCCAAAGAAATGTTTATACATTAGTATCACAAACTAATTCAATGAATAAATCAAATCAACAAGAAAGTACAAATATCCTAACAACACATGATATAAATACGCCACGTATATCTTCAACAAATAATCATTATACATCTCAACAACAATCTTCAACATTTAATACATTTGATGATAGTTTAACAAATCTTTCATGGTTACATGATATAAATATATTAAAACGAACAATGCCACCAATAAATTCTTCTTCATCTACAACAAATAATAAACGTAAAGAACAACCATCTACTTGTTCATCTTCATCAAATCGTGATTCTATTTATCCAAATGATATATCAGATAATAATGATTTACCAATAAATAATGATGATGATGATGATGATGATCAATGGCGTATGTATAAAACAAATCCACATGCAAAACCGATCTATTCATATTCTCAACTTATATTATTTGCTTTGAAACAATCTGGACATGATAAAATGACATTACAAATGATATATGATTGGGTTGCAGAAAATTTTCCATATTTTAAAAAAATGGAACCAACTTGGCAGGTACTGTTTTTTATTAGTTTTGCAATAGTTTATTTAGACTTAAAAGAAAAATTTTTTTTTTTAATTTTAGAATTCTATTCGACATAATTTATCATTAAATAAATGGTTTATAAAAGTTCCACGTACAAAAAAAGAAGCTGGAGGTGGTAAAGGTGGCTTTTGGAAATTATCACCTGATTATGAAAGACAACGTTCATTAATTCAAATTCAACAACAACAACAACAACAAATAAATTCTACACATAATAAACGTTCACGTCCTTCAAAACGATCAACATCAGCATCATTAAATCAAATCATATCTAATAATGTAACACAATTAGTAAAAAATTCATCTCGTATATCTTATGAAAATATAAAATGTGAACCATGGATTGATCCCATACTTCCATGCATTGGATCAAAAAGTCAATCACCACTTCATTGTCATACAACAATTAATGATCGTTCATATGTACGAATGCCAAGTAGTTTTCTTTCTCCAACATCATCTCCTGATTCTTTAACTGTTTCACCATTTAATCATCAACAAATAACTGATTTATCATCTATATTAACTCCATCACCATCTAGTTCACCATCATCAATGTCATCAGTTATATCAAAACAAAATTTAAATGGAACGAAATTAGATGATACAGATATGCTATTATTAGATTCATCAACATTTGATTGGGATGCTTATTTATATGAAGCACCAAATGATATTGATGTTCAACCATTATTATCATCAAGAACTGAACATGATCTATTTAATGATTTTAATGCAGCATTATCTGATTTAACATCTTCAGCTGAAGCAGCAGCAGCAGCGGGTGCTGATACAAATAATGCTTTTGATGCTTTTGATTATACGTCAAAAAATTCAACATTCAATTGTTTATTTGAAGATGATGATCAATCCCAACAACAACAACAACAACAACAACAACAACATATTATTCAATCTTCTAATAATTCAGGAGATTTAACAATAAAAGGTTGTGGAATAAAACGACCATCATGGTGGATGACAAATGAAAGTGTAACATCAACTAAATTACCATCACTAGAAACAGCTTTTGATCTCAAATTATCTAAACAATGAATAGAATCTTTTTTTTTTTTATGTACATAAATTTGTGTGTGGGTGTGTGTGGGTAGTAGAGTCTTCCGTTTCTTTAAAATAACTTGTGTGACATATATTTGCAATTGTGTTTGCTTGTTTAATTCCGTCCAAAAAATATTGTTTGTTTGAAAAAAAAGAAATTTTTTTCTTTTGTGTTCATCACTGTGATTTTAAACAGCTGCAGACATACCGTCCATATTATTATCACATT